TGATATTCTTTTCTCTAAATATTTTTTTTTTTTTTTTTTTTTTTTTTCAAAATTTTTAATGGATTATACATGATTTTAAAATAGTAAATTGCTAAAAAAAAATTTTCTGTCTGTGTAGCTTTCAGACTTAGAGCTTTGTTCATTGTTTGCCAAGAATTATTGCTTCTTAGCAAGCCATATTCATTACAACATTGATTAAATCATGACCCCCATGGCCTACTTACTACTTATGGCCATAGCATTGTTCAACTCTAGCTTTGTTTAAACTTCATGTGAGATTTTTTTTTTCTCCATGTTTTAGTTACTCTTCTAAATTAAATATTAGGTCATTAAATTAAGACCTGCAATTTCTTTTATGTTTCTGTTTGCTAAAACATTTGAATAATTAATGATTATACTTCATTTTTTAAATAGTGAATTGCTTGCCATTTCTCTTGTAATGAATATAAAATGCAAAATGGAGTGGTTGTGTATTAAAAAGATTTTGTTTAAAACATGGATTCTGGCATTGCTATCTTTCTAAGTTACCTTATTAGTGTTATATTTTAAGCTTAGCAAAAGTTTGAAATTTTATTAATTTACAAATAGGTTATTTTTTTTAATTGACAAAGTGAATTTTCTGATGTCTTACATCAATTCAAGTTACATTAAATTCAAGTTATCCAAAAATACATATTCTTGAAAATAGACAAGCTAACATACTTAGGCATGCAGTAATTGGTAATGTTGGATTTTCCCTTCAATCCTTTTGTGTTACATTAACACACTTTGTAAGTAGTGTGGAAGTGTCTATTATACTCAAAGGCACTTTCTGCTCTTGTCTGATATTTGAAAATTTTTTTCCTTTTCAAAGTGTTTGTTACAAAAAAAAAAAAATCCTGAAAAATAAAAAAGATCTTTTAAACTTTCTCTCCAGTTTACAACTGGTGAGTTTAATTAAATGAATTCTTATTTTATTTTAATTTTCCTTTTATCAGGGAGGTGGATGGTGAAGGAGTGACCTAATTATCTTTCTCTGTTTCTTATTTTATTTTGGTAGTAAATACATCATTTTTTTTTTTTTTTTAGCAGAGTTTAACAACTTTTTCATTTAAGATACATTTTATTTTTAACTTAAAGAAATACAGTTTCAAGCCAATACACTCGAGTAAGAGGCTTTATTCTCTCTAGCCAAACATGTAATTTTATAATTCCTAATGCTCGTTTAAATAAATTTATTATTTTAGGTGTATCATATATACCAACTGTAAATGTCAAGTCTGTCTCTATAAGTTGTTTACAAAGTAGTTTAGTTTTGACAAAAGACACTATAGTACACACACATATATCAAGCACTCATTCCAACTAAAAAGCAGGAAGCCCCAATATGCATGACATGCAAAGAAGCCATATAATGACATGTAATAACATGAAACTAGCCTGAATCAAATATTACCAAACAAATAACCTGAAAGAATTCTTTACCAGGATCAATCCAGATAACATTTTAAATTCTTAAAAGAAACACACTTATTTACCAAATGTTGAAAAAAAAAAAAAAAAAAAAAAACTAAGTACAGTTTATAAATACAAAAATTAACAACTTTTGACATGACTATAATGTTAAAAAAAATAAAAAAAAAAACACTTAATTTCACTACAAAATACACACATAAATCCCAACCCTACTTTGCCATTAAACAACTCGCTAGGAGTTGATATTCCATTAAACGACTCTCTAGGAAAGCAGGAGTAATCTGTGAGGATTGAACACACTACTCACTAATAATGATGTATAAGACAGGTTTATTAACAAATACACCATGATGATATACTCTTGCCTCTAAAAAGTTGAAAGAAATCTTAAGATTAAATATATAAAGGATTTGAAATCATGTGAAATTTAGAATAATCTCAATCTATATAATTAAAAAGTAAAGATGTCCATATGCAGCTTTTTTTTTTTTTCTTTTTTTTTTTTAATCTAGAAAAAAAATTTTGACCTGATAGAATCATTGAAATTTTTTCCCTGCCAAACTAAAGTTAAATTGTTTCCTGGCCCAGTTCCTATTCTTTTACCAATTGTCATCTGATACTCTTAAGTGTTATGCTATTATTTCCTCAATTCTTGAAGTTTGAACTTTTCTAAATTCTATTGATAATGTGTTATTTGATCTGTCATATATTCATGCATGCATAGTTGAGTAGAAATTCAATGTATTGGTAAATTTGATGAAGACAAAGCAAAACAATGGGTTACAACTTAGATACTAAGCCTGTCTACTTTTTTTGGTTTGAGTCAAATGTATACCAATAGGTTAAATGGAGAAATAAACAAGTGTAGTCTTTTATTATCATTTTTTTTTAATATCACCTGATTGCTTTGAATTGTATTAAATCTTTTAATCAAGTAAAAGCAGCCCATTATTTAAACTAGTTAAATTGCATTGAATAAAGGTAATTTAAATTTTTAATTTCAAGAATTTGAATGAAATATAACTATTGATCCCTCACTGCCAGTAAAATATCAGTGTCTAATATTTAAGAAAAAGATCTGTATACATGCAGAAAATACCATTTAAATATTAATTTCATAACTTGAGAAAAACTGATAAATGATGACCAGTTGAATGAGCAAATGTCCCTGCCTCAGCCTAAATCATAAAGGTCAATGGTCTTCATCTCATCTCTGGCATTTGAATGCTCTTCAAGATGCAAATGTTATGAACAACTTTCTGACCATTCAGTAATAATGTCAGGAAAACTTTTTTTGTATTCTTCATTTTCCTCCCTGATCAATACATTGACATATAGTTGTGTTGCTGCTTTTGTTTCTTCTGTTGACACTGCCTTTTTATATACTTGGGTATATTTGCTCTCCAAAAATGAACCAAATTAAACTAATTTTTATACTTTACATTGAAGTCTCTCTCATTTTTTTTTTTTTTTTTTTCATTTCAAGCTTTATAATGGGAGTATGTCTGCTAATCCCTAAGGCTGTTTTATTTTATCAACAACCTTGTTTCCTATATACTATTTTTATTTTTGTATGTATGGAATTGTCATTACATTTCTACTCCATTTTGAACTCTGTTTAGGATATTATTTATAATTTGGAGAACTCATTAATATAAGAGTTGTCTAAGTTATTGATCTTTATTACAATGTTCTGCATGGGTGTCTTCACATGTATTACATGAATAAAGACACCTTTTTTTTTTTCTTTTTTTTCTTTTTTTTTCTCAATCAATCCATCCATATAGTATAGATTACCCAAAATATTAGGGTGTTTGGAAAGTAATTACAGTTTACCAAAAAGGACATGTAAATGAATGTAAGTTATCAAAAATATAATCTCTTTACTGCAGTACAATGAGAAGGCAGATTTTCAATTCCCTGTTTAAAGTATTATGAGCCACTCCCACAAAGGTTTTAAAGGCTCTTTTCAACTTTTTTTTATGTTCTGCCATATATGAAATGTTCTAGTGATTGAAACATGATAATCTGTAGGTGTTAAATCTGGTGAGTGTGGAGGTCGTGGAAGAACTTCCAACTTTAATAATCTTATTCTTTCTTCAGTTTGTTCTGCAAAGTGTATCTTTTGCATTGTCATGCTGGAAAATAAGACTTCTTGTTTACCAAAGCAAGACACTTTCAAATGTAATGCTTCATTTACTCAAAATCCTGGCAATAGAAGGATCATCACTGCAGATCTTTATCTTCCAGTCACTTATAATAGATAAAGCCTTTTATATTCCATCTGACAAAGCAAGGATTTCTGTAGACAGTCCTAGTTTTGGTGTTGGCACTGGCTTCTTATTTGTGATAACTACTGTCTTTTTCATTTTCTGTCAACCTGCAAAACCCATTTTTCATCACCTGTAAAAATGCAATGCAAAAATAAAATGGTTATATATAGATTACTACTGATGGAACATTGTCTTCAGTTCTCAACCCAAATTCCCTTTTGCAAGACACTCCATCTCTGCGCAATTAAATTTTGAAACACACTATAAACAGCATGTTGTCAGAAGAGATGATAAATTAATTCTAGCTGCCATTTCCTACCATCTAACATTGATTATATTTTGGTTTATGATTCCTAGCAGTGAAGTACATAATTACTTTCTGAATACTTTACGTTCACTCATTCAAATAATTCTAGGAATCCTAGCATATTGGCTGTAGTGCATTCCACTGATTTATCAATGCATTCATAAGTGACAAAAAGATAAATGTTTTTCTTAACTCTATTCTGCCTTAATTTTTATCTTTTGAGAACCACGGGGAATTAGGTCATCTACAGTGTAGATGATTGAGACAATAAAACTTAAGATTGATTTTTACTTGCTTTGAAAGTTGCTACAACCTTAACATCTATTTTCCATGCCTAGAGAACATTGTAGATTCAGTTCTTATAAAGTATCAAATAATTTGTTTGGTGCAAGCATTCCTTTTTAGTATATAGTTGATCAGTCATTTACATAGAATAAGTTGAATGCTTCTGAATGTGTATATAGCCCTTTTATTTTGTTCAGTTTTCCATGCCTTACTCATTTACTGCAGAAAAGGAAATACTGCTTGACACTACAAGTTGCAGTTTCATATATTGTGATAGAAATTCAGCTTGCTGTTTTTTGCCATTTTGAATTTGAACTGGACAGAAATATTTTGATGACAGAAAGTAGATTAACTGGGTTAACTTGAGTTAGGTGGAAAACTTTCTGAATTATTAATCACTTGGCTAATTTTCTTGAAGCAAAAACTAATGTGCAATTAAAGAATCTTGAATTTATTGCTTGATAGATGGAAGTTGTCCAACATTTACCTTGACTTTTGTGTTGTTCTACCTTTTATATTTAGTATTTTAGTTGTCGGTTGTTGCAGCTTTGTGTGAATTTATATGTATATAAAAAGAAAAAAAGTGAAGCTTCAAGAATTTCTTGAGTTTTTGTTGTATAAATGAATCTTTTTACTTTTCAATTAACAATTTTCTTAAAGACTTTTGTTTTCCTTTTCAGTTGAAAGTCACAATCAGTGTACTCCGGAGGAATTCCAACGGTTACACACACAAATCCAGGAGTTAAATAAAACGCTGAATAACTTTAAGGATGGTAAAGATGGGCTTCAAACAGTTCTGAATAAAGTGAATTTACTTAACACAGAAGTAAGTAAACTGTGGCTTTTTAAAAAAAATTTAAAATTTTTATTTTTATTTTTTAAATTCTAAATTAAAATGTTTAAATTGTTTGAAGTTGTTGCACTTATGAGAGACATTCCTGAAAAATAAGCAAATCTTATATTGCTTCTAATATGACAATATTAAAATGAGGAGACTTGGTACTAAAAGTTTTGTCTGAAAAGTAAATGATAAAAATGTATTGAAATTCTTTTATGAAAAAATAGTATTAACAAACACAAAGTCTCGGTGAATTCTAATGACAATATTTTTTTTCATGACTTCATGAAAATCAGATTGTGGCACATTGCTATTTTTGTAGAAAGTAGGAATAAATATGGATACTTTTACTCTATTATAAAAATAAACTAAATTAATGATGGGGGGCAAAGTCAATCCAATTGATTTACAGTGAAATAGACACACATTCTAGAAGAACAGATTACTATTTCTTCTAATAGCATGAAAACTAAAATTAAACAGATTTTGTATAAACTGTCAGAACAACAATTGATTCGAACATTTGACTGAATGTAATCAAACTCTTGGATAACTTCCTAAAAAATTTGTCCATGTTCACAAATTTTATTCCTATTTTGTCTACAAGTTAGAATAACTGAAAAGCAAAAAAAAAAAGTATTAACTTTAGTAACTGATTTACTGATAAATATTAATTGAATTTTGTCTCCCTGTAAATGAATTGTGTGGTCTTTATATTACATACATACTTTCTATAAATTTTATGGTGTTTCTTAATTTTAATTTCTTTCCATCTACCAGAATGGTCTGATGCAAATTATGAAATACTTAGTAGTTTTTAAACTGAAATAAATTTTGATTGGGATATTATAATAAACATGTATTTCTTTGCCTTATTTTGACTTCTATAGATATTAGTTGCTTGCTTTATTTTAGTGTCAAATAAATCTTTATCAATTATTCTTTTTTTTTTTTTTTTATATCTCTGTCCCTTTATTTGGAGCTGTTATGAAATATATTGAAATGTTATCTGTTTTCTTCAAACTTGTAGGTATCTGAATTAAAAGAAAAGACTGCAAGTTTGGAGGATCGAGTGGCCAAGGCACCTTTGCTTCAAACCCTACCAAAGAAAGTTGAAACAACATCTAAGGTAGTATTATAGTAATTTCCTTAACTGATGTTGGCATAATGTTATTTTTATTATCTTGACGCCATATTAATCCACTTCATTGCTTTTTAAACAGTTTCCATCTTCCCCTTACTTCCATCAGATTTAAAGATCAAACTCTTGACTTGTGGAATTTTCTGATTAAATAATTTATTGATATTTCATATTACTTATTTTTACTCTTAAAAAAAAAATTTGGAAAACACAAAACTTGTAACTTTGGAAGTAATTCATATATACACAAGAGAAACTTTGATGTTGTAGAGTCTGATCAAATATTTTTATTTCCCATCTACATAATGGAGATATAGATGTAGAATAAAAATATGCAGAAGTCAGTAGCTTAAAGGTTAAGTGGTCAGTGAATGAAATGAGTGAACAGTTTAACGGGAATAATTTTGTGCTCACTTGGTATTAAAATTCTTGAGACCATGATTGCCATATTGGATTGATTTGCAAAACCTGGCACTGTTATGTTTTTGAATTTTGCAACAGTAAACAGATAACCTAACACTCACCCAGCTTTCTACTGACTGGCCAATGATTATTCCATGCTATTTCAATCCCCGTTTGTGGTGGTGTACACTGAAAAGTGGGGAAAGCCCATGTGGTAATAATGATAAAAACTTACACCACCTCATGAAATGATAATACAAATTCTGTTTCCAATATTGTATAAATGTTTTGTTTTTTTTTTGTTTTTTTTTATATATTCAGGACTTTACTTGCTCAGTTTGGGTGGGTAGGTAGGTGTGACACCTGGGAACAACCTTTCCCACTACTAACTCTCCAACTATCTACATATCCTGAGGTTTGGCTGGTAATATAAATGGGTGGCATTGGAACTATGTGAAAGATGGTCTCTCCAATAAGAACTAACCATCGATCCCAAGCATGACTGTGTAACTGGAACTAATCAATATGTTCACTTTGTTGTCACTTGGTCTCCAAAAGCCTTTATCGATTGTGCTATGTGTCCTCAAGGCGTTGGTTAGATCCAGTGACAGGACCCAAAGAGTGTGAGTTCAATACCCGGTTAAGGCAGTGGAGAACTTTCAGAGGGAAATTAACAGGAGATAACTGACATCCATCAAACATGGCACGTGGAACTAGAACAGTCTACCCCAGTGAGTGAAATAAAGGGTTCAGTTCGACATTCCAACCGCCTGAAGAAGGTCGGAGCGTACAACGGCTGAAACGTTGTAATAAATATGGTGACAAAGACTAGGACAACAGTCCGAATAATGTACATAATACCTCATCTCAGAAATATAGACAGACTACAAAAGAAATCCTTGCATAAACTATCCTTATTTGTGACTTTAGACAACACATTTGAGAGAGAAAATGGTATAGCTCTCCGGAAATTAGTTTATGATATGGCTTTTAAAAAGACAAAAAAATAAAACCCCTCATGTTTAAAATAATTAAAAATATGGCAATTCTTTTCTGGTACGCTAGTCAACTGTTATTGGGGTTTTGCAAATAAATTTTTTCTAAACAAGGAAAATCAATGAGTTAATACCCCCCCCCCCAATAAATTTGTTTTTATCTAGCAAATACACCTTAAAAATAATAAAAGCTTTTAATTTCATTTTTTTATTTTTTGAATGTGTATATATATTTTTAAATGTGCGAGTATCACCTGTCCTTTTTTTAGATACACATTTAAAAATTTTATTCGCTAGATAAAACCATAAAGATGTTTGTAAAAATAAAATGAATTAATTTTCCTTGTTTAGAAGAATTTTAGGCAGAACACCCACCAAACACTAGTGGTTAAAAAAGAATAATTTTTACTTTGGGTTTTAAAAAAATGACTTGCAGTTTTGAAAGTATACACATTTTAAAACTGAGATTAAAATTTACTTTATTTTTTTAATATCTAATTTTAGGTGTATTCACTAGATAGAAACATAATTTTAGAAAACAATTTTACACTAGATACTCGCATATTTGGAAAAAAAAAAAAAATTTTAAAAGTGAAATTAAGAACTATTTTAATTCTTAATATCTGATTTAATTGCATTCTCAAGATAAAAAAACAAATTTATTTATAAAAAAAAAAAATCTTCATTTATTTTTTCTTGTTTACAACAACTTCATGATTGGTGTACTGGCTTACTAGAAAACCCTTACAAAAAATCCAACTTCATAAAATTTAACATTAAGACAAAACTGGCAACTATTTTTTTTTTTTTTTTTTTTTTTAATTTTTACTTGCTATTTTTTTAATTTTACTACATAATTTAATTTTTTTTTTTTTTTTTTTTTTTTTTTTTTTTTTTAACAGAAACAAATAGATTTCAGAACTTTTATAAGTTAAAGGCAGAACTCCTTGGAGAATTTAAATTATCAATTTTTTTTTGTAAAACAGGACCCCCAGTTACCAAAAATCTTCTGAATTTTAAAATAAAAATAACGCAATGAAATTAAGACATTTATTTAATTAGAAAAGCTTTTAATTGCTTATATGAATAAGATGTATTATGAATACTATTGTCTTAAGAAAAAAATATTTTTGATGAATAATGAATTGTTATAAGAGTTGTCTTCATTTTGAAAAAATTTTAATTATCATAATTTATAAAGTTTTAAATCTTAAAATTCTGTCTTTGCCCTGGTTATTTGATATTGTTAAATAAAAATTATATTTACTAATCATAAATGGAAAAGTTTAGTACAATTACTAGTAGATTTTTGAAAAAAAATTTTTTTTTGTGTTTATAAACAGATTATGGAGAATATTGTCCTAAATTTTTAAGATTACTGAGTAGTTAAAATTATATAATAAAAAAAAGGTGCTTGCATTATATTCTTAAAGTAATATTTTGCAGATATATACACCATAGAAAAACATTAGATAAACTTCTGTCAGTCAACAGCTTAAATAAACTGTCATGTTAAAAAAACGCATTTTTGCAAAATTTTAAACGTAATATTTGTTTTTAATCACATTAATTAAACTTTAAATCCAGTTAATATTCCTCAAAGTTTCAAAAAAATATTTTTTTATTTTTGAAAAGATTTTCATAAAGGGAATTACATTGCGACGACAGCTAAAAATGGATCTAAAATCAGCGATGTTATTGATTTCAAAATGTAAACTCCTTTCAGTCAATTTAAATTAGTTTTGAAATATAACAAAATATATTGTTTATTAGAAATATTAAATTTAATCTATTAGATTGAAATTAAAACTAAAATAAAAGCTTTACGAAAGATTTTTCATTTTTAACAGTTCATTTCAAACCTTAGGTATTGCATTTTCTGTGGCGGTACTATAGAGTTTGCTTTATTTTACTAATTTCTTAATTTCTGTAATTCATTTTTTTTTTATTTTAATATTAATTTTTTTTTTTTCTTTAATTTCTGCTTTACAGAGCCTTGCCACTCTGGGGAGTGACATGGACATCCTCAAAAGAACTGTCAATTCCTTAAAGAATGAACATCAACAGGCCACTGACAATTATGAAAACTTAACTAAAAAACTAAAAGCTTTGGTAAGTTTGATTTCTTTGAATTCCAATGAGATTGAAATTTTTCTAAGAACCACACCTCTTGAGTTCTGGGATTGCTCAGTTATTACAGACTATTGTTACTGGTGGTGGTATTTAGATAGGTTATCCATTTGATGCTAAACATCTTAACCAAGCAGCCTTTTCACTTGAGGGCTTTTGAAACCTGGTCCTGGTGTGAATGTTGCCAACATTGCACATCATTGCCCAGATGACTGGAATATAATAAGAAATTGATGTTCACAGAAGTATTAATTAATTTAAACAAAACTTGTTAATGTGTTAATGGCAGGAAATTGCACCACAACCTCGTATCAGTGCTCTGATCGCAACAACTTAAAATTATTGCTTGTTGACCGATTGGCAATGACATCAGAAAACATTACCAAGCATAATGTAAGCAATCTCAAAAAAAAAAACACTCCAACTGAAAATAATCTTTAATCTTGCTTACATTGAAGTCATTTATGTAAGGATTGTTTTACTCTTGTTCTTGAAGTTGAAGGTAAAGCACATTTTGATATTTTAAGACAATTACAGTTATCCTTGTATTTTGTTCAGACTTAGTTGCAAATAAATTTAATAAAATGATAGAAATGTGAGTGTATACCATATGCTTTTTTTATCTTTTTCTGAGCCATAGACTCCCAATCAGTCTTAGTGGTTGAATTCCCTCTATTGAGAATTAAAATATCTGAATGTTATTTTTGATAGTTTTATTGTTTAAGTCTCAAAATTACTGATGTAAAAAGATTCAATTTTTTAGAATCTGGAATAATCAGGGATTAAATAAAATTTGTGTGAAATAGGTAACTGAATTCATAGTAGGCTAATTTGTTGTTAGTTCACATTGCTCTAATATTTCACTCAAAAATAATTTTATACTTTTCTATAACTCAACACACTAGCTTAATGAAATAGTCACCTACCTGCTCTATTACTGTGAGATGTTTTCAAGGCTCATTGAAGCTTAATGGAAGATAGCATTTTAAACAGTGATATGAAATTTCAATATTGTTCTGTTATTTTTAAAGATTCTTTGCTCAAGAGAATAGTCTGTATTTTGGCATATAATCTTGAATTGTTCTTTAAAAATTAGATTAACTTTATTGAGGATTTAAAGGGATTTGCTATTTTGCAAAAATTAGGGGCTCTTGTATTAGGCTTCCTATATAATATATAGGATTAATACAAATAAAATTTGTCATTTATTTGATTGATGTTATATTCAGCACCTTAAATTTGGCATTTTGTAGACAAACCTTTTTGTAATTGTTCACTCCACTCACTAGGAAGTTTCAGCAATTGAGTGCAGATTTTCTCATTTTCATAGGAAGTTAATTATTTTAAGCACTAGTTATTATATCAAACTATTTAGTTGGATAATATTGACAAGTTCTATCTATCCATTTTTTTAACATTTTTTTTTTTAATTTCCGAATTTGTTGTTTTATGTAATCAGTAAATTTAGCAAAGTTTATATTTATTTTTTTAAAAAAAAAAAAAAGGTTGTCCTTTGTGTTTGTAACTATTTTTGGTTGATGTTTAGTCTTTACTTGCATTCAAAATTCTGGAGGCTGTAGTAATGCAATGAGTGTGTGTTTATGATGATATAGATATGATTGATTTGTTTGTTTAATGGCATATCAATCCCTTAAGTGTCATTTAATGTTGACAAAAATAAATATGAACTTTGGTAAATTTACTAATTACATAAAACAACTAATTGAGAAATTAAAAAAAAAAAAAAAAAAAAGGTGAAAAAAAAAATTTAACAGAACTTGATGTTATTTAAACAAATATGTTTGGAAGGTTTTTTTGCTGTTGAAAAATATATAGTAAACCTATGCATTTTCAATTGCTTCAATTATTGTACAGTATAAGTTGTTGGGCAGAGAAATGTCTGTATATCAATGTTGTTCTTGCTTAAAAACTGAATTTAATAATTTAGAAACTGGTTCAGTGTTATAAACTTCTATTTTTAATGCACAAAATAATGAGATGCCATTTTATAAAATACTTGTCTTAGATTAAAAATATCACAATGAATTGATATTGACTCCAAATTTGTTTTTCTAATAAATGACAAGGTATTTTTCGCTTTGTTTATCACTACAGTTCATCTTTGAATGAAGATAAAAGTAATAAGTATTTTATTTTTATGGTTCTGGTTTTCATAAGCAAATGAAATAATGTAGAAATTGATTTTTTTTTTTTTTTTTTTTTTTTTTTTTAAAGGGATTTGAAATGAGTGACTGCATAAAAGATAGACTCATTGTTTTAGATTCAATATTTGTGTTTTACAGGTTGATAACTCGAATTTGACTCCTTCAATGTCACCAATGACTGAACATTTTGATAAGGTAAGAATACATTCAAATGAAATTGAATTCTTGAATCAACAAAAAATTCTAGATGAGGTTCATGAGTTCTCAATTTATCAATTACAAATTCTTTTCTTGGTTCAGCTGAGATTTTTTAAGGATGTTAATTTTACTGATTATGTAAATTTGATACAAATAACAAATCATCAAAGAGTTTTGAACCAACAACTTGTATTTTTAATGCTCATCACAAATTTTTTTATATATATATATATAAAATCAAGAACAATATTGGGGAAAAGTATTCTTGTGACGTGTTTAGGACTTCATTGGACTAAATTTATGTTGGAGCCACTACACATGCATTAAACTAGGGATAGTGGGAAATTAAATTTAAAAAGAATTTTTTTTTTCTTATATTTTTATTATTTTAATCTAGATGATTTCATTTAGATTCATAACACATTTAGTCTGACGTCTTAAAGGGTGAAATGAATCACAAGAAAATTTTTTACACTTTAACACTTTCTTACTAGTCTCAACCAATTTACATCCAAAAAAAAAAATGCTACTTTGGATGACAGGATTGCTTGACTCTTCATGGATGAAGAAGGTAGTTGCAAGTTGTGATGGGGATTTTTTACCCTTTTTGACTTGTACACCCAGCAGCATTTTCTGATGTTGGACTTGCAAGACTGATTTTTGACCCTTGGAATTGCAACCTCAGATTTTAGATTTTGGGGATCTGAACCTATCTATTGCTATTTACTTCAGTTATTTACCTTCCAAAACTGACCATAACAAATACTATATACCCTCTTCAGCAAGTTATGTAGCAATTGTAATACACACATACTTCAATTCTTTAAAATTTTATGTTTATTAAGGTCCCATTATAGTAACTTAGAATTGTGTAATCTAAGAATTCCATTAAAAATCTTTACCACCTTTCTTTTCAGAAGATTGAAGCTGTGAATACTGAAATAGACAAACTAAATAGTACTTCTATAGAAAACATGGATGTTTTACGCAAGCAATTGGTATGTATCAAATTCTTGGCTTTTTATGTCCCATGTTATGAAACTCTTAAACAATATAAGAAATCATTGTGACAGTTATTTGCTTAATGCAGAGAATATATACTGATCAACAAATACAAACACACATTTTAACTTCTTATAGAATATATAACTGAAATCTATATTCAGATTAGTCAGTTTTCAATTGAAAAGAAATTAGTCTGTTTTTAGATATATACCTGTTGTAAATAAATGGATACATAGATTTTCTTGACTGAATTATTTAATAAGAACCTTTTGGAAGATTTTTTATTTTATTTTTTTTTTTCTGTGGTAATAAAATACTTCATAAATTTTTTTTCCTAATGAATGCTTTTTTTTTTTTTTTTTTTAAATAGGGCAACCTTGGTGATAAAATGGAGAATGAAGTTTTGAGGATTAACAATATCTCTGCAACTGTTTTACACATGTCTGCTCAGGTTTATGTAAGTTTTTGTTTCAGATTTCTTGTGCCATTTTTATTTTATTTTTATTTTAAGCTAATCTGAAACTTACAGGGGAAATTATTGCATTGTGATAAAAATTTTTTTAAATCTGTCATAAATTGGGGTACATTAGTCCACCTATTTAACAGCTAATTTTAAAAATAAGCATAATATAGTTTATGCATTCTTGTAACGTTTTGTTAATGTTAAAACCTATATTTTTTCCTTTTGGCATGTAAAGAGTTGATATGCTGTTAAAAATTCACTTAAACTTTTTGTATATGGATGTGCCAGTAGTATAGAGTTTGAATTCAAAGTTCATTGTTAATTTTTATGCAAACATCCTTGGGAAAGGTATGAATCTATCTCTTATCTCCCCAATTATGGGTTAAATAGCATAGCCAACTGTTCTTCACCCTGTCTACTGCAGAGGGGTAAGACCCACCCCCCGAACAAGGCCACCTGTTTGCTGTGGATGGAAACCTGGTGGCTGAGCAGTCTATGAAATGGGTGTATAAGTGGTCATGTAACAGCAAAGTTACTCTTTGGTCCTTACTTGGGCTAGACTGGCAGTCGGAGAGGCCCAATTTGATTAATTGGCTGATCATGTCAAGCTCTAGCACCTATAGCATTGTTTCTCACTGATTACATGACAATTTAACATCCAACTCTCTATTATTTTAAAAGTGCTAAAAGGCAGTGGCTGAGGGGGGCACAATTGAATTAAGAAAAGAAAGAAACTTTGACTAGTATTTCATATTAAGGCATCAGATTTTGGGGTACTGAAGCACAAAATTAGCCAGGGCTCTGTCCTCTCACGATGTGAATATACTGGTTGATGTATTCTCACATTAACCAAAGCAATTTGTTTTAACTCCCTTGGTAAATTCCCAATTGCACTTAGACTGCATGGTGGGTAGTGGAGCACAGAACCAATGGAAAAAAAAAAAAAATCATGTGGCAAACTTTAAACAAAAACCCCAAATGGAATCTCTGACTGATTCAGAAATAGAAAAAGTTGGAAGTGAATTCCTTAGATTCAACATAATTGAATCTCTAGAAGAAACCATTCTGGCTGATCTGTCCCCATTATTGAAAGAAAAAAAAAAACAATAACCAGCGCATGCAAATCCTTGAACAGTGAATTAGGGAGAGAAGTGGCAATTTACTTGTAAATGTGAACAATAATGAAACATGCAGATAATATAGTGAAAATTAAATCTTTCCACAATTTAAAATGTAATGTTTAACCACACGAAGGACTTAACACCTCAAAGGGAGTTATTAGAAACAGCTGTCTCTGACTACACCAGAGGAAATAAATGCAGCCTTATGAAAGCAGGTGGGTGGTCCCCAACTATAGAAGGATAATCATGAAAAGGGGTGATCATCAAAACTACACGTATTTTAACTTTTGATAAATCCACAATCTCAAAAGAAATAAAAATTGGATTTACAATTGAAAGTTGAACAATACATTCCCAATTCTTTGAGGTATTTCATGTACCAGAAGTATGAGCAGAGCACAAGGAGAGCTGCAGAGGACACCCTGTATGTGGAAAATGCGGTCAAAAAGACACAGATCACATGGAGGAGGAAGATTGTACTCAAGAAACTAAATTCTTGGTTAAGAGAACCATCCAGCCTTTTTGAAATCTTGTGCTCTTACTTATATATATGGGATCATGTGAGATCTACATGACCTTGGACTGAAAGATAGGCTACAAGATTTCATTAGCAACTTTCTTTCAAATGGAACTTTTCAGGTGTGCATTGGATCTATTCTGTCTGATCAAAAAACAAAATAAAACAGTGTCACAAGAGTATATTTCTGTCAGTATTAAAATAAAAAAAAATTGAAAAAAGAACTCGCTCAAGGTATAAATGGATCTTTGTACGTACATGATTTTACTGTAAGTTAACAATTCGAAAATATTCAAACCATAGAAAGGAAACTGCAGTAATGCATAATTAAGATCCACAGATGGGCAATAAATAATGTTTTCAGATTTTCTAAAACTAAATGTGTGCATTTTTGTAATAAAAATAAACTGTATAATGATCCAAGATTGCAACTTGAAGGGACAGAAATTCCAATAGTAAACCCGTACAAGTTTTTGGGAATAACTCTTGACAAGAAACTTTCATATGACACCTAAAATATCTGAGAACAAAATGCAATGAAACATAACTCTTGCATGTGGTGGTCCACAAAAATTGTGGAACAGGCTGACAAACGCTGCTGAAATTGTACAGCAGAACAATTAATATGATCTAACCTGAACTATGGAAACTCCATATACCAATCTGCAAGGAAATTGTATCTCAAAATACATAACCCAACTTTTCATGAAGGTTTGAGATTGGCACTTGGAACATTTAGAACATCTCCTGTAGAAAAGTTTGTATGTAGAAGCAACTGAACTTCCACCATAACTTAAGACTGGACAAACTAGACCTATAAAAAACTAAAGACCTGCCCTTCTAACCTTGCATAAAATATCACATTCGGTCCAAAATACAGAAACCTCTTCCAACAAAAAGAGAAACCCTTTGGACTTCAGATGGAATCCATTATTAATGAAGCAGAAATACCTCTATCTAGAATTCATAATACAACCATACCAAATATACCATTTTAGTCTATAAGAATACCAGAAATAAATTTAAAACTCTGCAAACATCACAAAACAAGTACACATCCACTTATATTCCAAAAGGAAATAAAAAAAAAAAATTGAAAACAATTATCCCAGACATTCATATATCTTCATGGAGGGTTGAAGCAGATTCAGCTGCAAAGTCTGCCCAAAATGAAAACCCTGACAATAATTTCAAGATTTCTTATATGGACCAAAAAAAAAAAAGTTACATTCAACAGAAATGGCAAAAACACTGGACCGACAGCACAATGAACTTCTCACAATCAAATCATTCCTAGGTGAATGGAAACAAAGAAAAGGAAGAAAAAAAAATACAAAGTAAGACTAGCTCAGTTACACATAGGCCACACATACTTCACCCATTCATGAAGATCAACCAGAATGTACATGTCAAGCTGCACACACGGGGTAACACATTTTAACTGAATCTACTCACTTTTAGTCCCTGTAATATGTAAATACTGCAAGGAAAGCAACATGAGAAAACTATTTGAAAATACTCGAACCATCAACATAATGTCCTATGTTAAAGAAATAGGTTTATGCTAACACATATAACACTTCCAATAGATCATCTACAAACTATATGCAGGAATACCCCAATTAATGCAGTTTCGATTACCAAAGCTCACAATAAAATTTTGGTATTAAATGACCCATATGTTGTTAACCAAACCAGTCTCATGTGGTGTTGATTTTATTTGCTGTGAACATTTCTTGGCCTCTGATGAGAAAAGAATGTTTTTTTTTTCCTTTAATTTATTTGCTTTTATTACCACTTTACGATAATGTAAAGTCTTTGCTATTCCTTCCTGTTTCAATCATAATTATTGATTCTGGTTGTTTTGGCTTAGACATGGATTAATTTTTCAATTGTTTAATATTTTTTTTTTTTTCTTTAGGCCCTCAACTCCTCAGAATTGGAATTACAGAATCAGATTCACAAGCTGCAAGTAAATCTCATTGCTTCTCCCACTACAAAGAACAGTAACACCACCACCACCGCCACCAACACTACTCCTACATCCCCTTTGACTGCTGCTGAAAGCACCAAATCACCCTCCACATCCACAATAAAGGAAACTCCAGGAACTGGTGACTATTGAGGATTTTACTTTTAAATGTTAAATTTAGACAGATTTTTGCATTTACTACACCTAGATGTAAAAACAAAAATGTAACTGTAACCGCATAACTAAATTTTAATGATTGAATTGACAAGTAGATACTCGAATAAAAGATGAAAGTTTAAATCATGTTGGAACCTAAATCTATTTTCATCTTTGCTACTTATTTAAAGATTGTGGAATGTCAAAATTCTGCTTTTAAAGGAAATAATCAGTTCATTTGAAATGTTTTTTAAACATATTTTGGAAATTTTAAGTTTATTCTCAATTGTTTTGGGTTTTCTTTTTTCTCTTAAGATTAACCCTAGGTATTTGCTGTCTCCCCACTAAGAAGAGTTGTGACACAAGGTCAGTTTTTAATCTGGGGAGCCCAAGTGTGTATACCTGGGCTAGGAACAAAAATTGCTCACAGCCTCTGTAACTGTTGGTGCAATGAGAGGGTGTAGCCTCGGGCAGCTGTTCTCCAGGACTGGGCACCTCTCGGTATAATTTTCCTCAGTTGCGAACTGTCCTTTGACAGTCGCCCCCGAGTGCACTCTGCCTAAAGACAGAGATGGAACTGAGAGATGATAATGTTTCAAACTACTCGAGAGTAGTTTACACACTTAAGATTAACCCTATGGTAATAATAAAGAATAACATTTTTATTTTTATAAATTAATTTTGAAGGTATTGTAAATTTTTGAAATAGTTCTCTCATTGTTGGCTATTTTGTATTGAATATAGCAATTATAAAATTATCGTTTGTGTGGCTTCAGTAAAACAATTTATTTTTTGTTTGCTTTGCTAATCTGCTCTTATTTTAATTTCACTCTTGTGTACCAATATCTAACATTTAATTCAATATTTGAACAGTAATTTAAAAAGCTGCAAACTCCTAGAAAGCTAATGATTGTGTCTAATGAGTTAAATTACTTACTGGGAAAAGAATTGATAGTTTAATAAGGAAAAAGCTGCATACATATATACATATGTATGCTTCATCAATATAATTTTTAAGTTTAAATATTTAACTTCACTTTCTATAGCTGAGTGTCTTCTCTCAAGCCGTTATCAAGTTGCTGTGAATGTAAATATTGCCCAATGAAACTGCAAACTGGTATATCTTAAACAAATTTGTCACGTCAAAATAAGCTAAGTGATTATGTCTGAATTTCTCAGACAAAAAAAAATCTGCTTTTGAAAAGATTGAATTACTGAGAAGCAATTTTTCAAGTTGTCTAATTTTATGAAAGAATTCATGAGCGATAATTTTCAATACATTCACTTTCAGTATTAAAACGTTTACCCCCACTTCCTCCCGAAGACTGTAAAAAAAAAAAAAGTTGGTGAGTTGAAGGGAAGCAACTCTTAAGAATTAATTTTAGTTATCAAATTGTTCGCTGAAATATTACTGTCGCTTTTGATGACTGCAAATAGGTGTATCTGAATTCTTAGATTTCAATTTTAAAGATTTTTTTTAATTTTGTTTTTCTGCAGACGAAATGGATTTTTTTAAATAATTTAAACATTTATCCATTAACTAACTGAAATTTATTTTTATCTCAGTTGAACCATAAAATAAATGACAATCTCTATATGAAATTTTGTGACTTCCGTTAGTCTGTCAGTCACATCCTCTAATATAGCCATACATTGACTGATTGAAACCAAATGAAAAAAATATTGGTTGCCATGAAGTCCCATTAAAGAAATTAAGCCTCGAAGTAGGATTTTTGTCAAAGTATTTTTCCAAACAAATCAGCTTATTCAAATTTCATCAATTGGTTTGTGAAATTGAATGAAATGAAGAGTTTTGTAAATCTCAACAAAAAATATTCAGTAACAATAATAAATACTGTGAGGATTTCAACATGTGTCAATGTGTTACAAAAAAATTCTAGTGATAAAAATTCCTGTCATTTGCAGTTAATGTTTAATATTATGTAAATTGTCTAAAATTACACAAACTTTCTGGCATTTTTGAAAGAAAAAGTTAACATGAGGAATGGTCGGGGCAGAGGGAATTAAGTGACTTAGTTTCACTAAATGTCTCCATGCTACTATTTATTTTTGTCTTTGTATTTTCCCTATTTTTCATTTAATGGTTTTCTATAATGTTTTTTTTTTTTTTTTTTTTTTTTTCTTCAGCTCCCAAAGCTGCCAATTAATTGGATGTGGTCTTTAGTCCTGGACCTGAGGGTTTGAATTGTCTCCCTTATGTGAGGAGGAGGACGACGAATGAGAGATCAGTTATCACAATTCCATTGTGAGAAGTTTCATGTTTACGTGATGTACAAAATAATTCACTGCATATCATTTGATTACCCCCCTTCCTTTCTTTTGAAGTCATAAACTTTGAAAAACCTTTCAGATTTTTATATTGTTTTTCTTCCTCCATCCATCTATTTTCTTTCTATTCCGTGTCTATTCATAAATAGGCAATATCAGTGAGGACCATTTCAACAGTCGTGCTTACAATGATTACTACTATTACTCACAACTCCTCTACATGGTACTGCAATGTCCACACCTTTAACAAAACTAGTCTACATAGTTTCGCTTTTTCTTTAAAAGATCAAACTGATCAGTTGGGAATGGCTCTACTTCTATTGTGTTTTTCATCTCAAAACACCGAAAAATTGAGAGATCTTAGACAGTAAGAGATTTTAGGTTCTCAGTTCAACTGAAATTAAAAGAACAAAATAACTAAATTTCTATCAGTTACTCCAAATCTTGATTTGCATGGTGTAAATCTTCTCAGTTGGTTGGATTCTTGCAAAAATTTAGCAGCTACTGCTGCTTATCAATGAACAAATTCGTTTTTATCTTATCAAATGGGGAAAAAATGTATTATTGAAGTGTGCCAAAGGAAGGAAGTTAATGCTGTTGAGGCTTCCTTTCTAATTCTATCAGATCAGAAAAATACTGAAAGAAATATAGTTTCCATGAATATATTCATTTAGTTGTTTGATGAGAAAATCAATGAAAAATGTGCTTTTATTATTATAATTCTTCTATCTGTTCTCACTAATCTATCTTGACAATTTTTTTTTTAGTCTATCATGCAAATCTAGACATTCATTTACTTGTGTAAATTATAGAATTTAGTGTCTCTGTAAAATATTTTTTATTTGAAGAAATATGTTTACTTCTATTTAATTCATTTGCATCTAGATTTTTTTTTTTATTTTTTAAGCTGTTACTAATTTTCTTGGGATCAAATTTTAAGATGGTTATTTAATTCATCTTTGTCAACTTTCTTTGCTTTGTTAGTCAACAACACAAATTGCTCTCTTGGTATTGACCATAATTTCCTTTTTGCTACCCACATTAGCATCATAGATGATAAATTTTCCTACTGCCGTATTGCACTATGGTCAATATAGTAGTTCACGTGAATAAGGTTTTTTTTTTTTTCCTTTCTCTTTAGCCCCCTGTTCCTTTATCCAACTCTAAAGCAGTTATTTTTTTATTGAATTGGACAGAAATTTAGTCAGGAAACCTAAATGAAATTCTGTTTCTTTAATCCTTGAAATGAAAATATGTGATACAAAATCAATTCTGGAATCTGAGGAATTTTCTATTTTAAAATGAAAAAAAATATTATTTTAATTTCCAGCTAAAATATTTTCACCTTTTTTTTAAAAATTTTTTTTATTTTTTATTTATTTATTCATTCCTTACCTTAAGTGTTAAAAAAAAATATTTTTTTAAAGTCAGAAAGCAAAATCTATTAAACAATTTTTAAATTGTTTATCTTGGATTGAGAAGAGACAAACATTTATTTTCTCAATGTTTTTCTGTATGATGATAAATAATTTAGCCATTTTATCTATATTAGTTTCTTTGAATACTTTATTATAAATCCAGTCCCTTCATTCTGTGGGATCATTTAATTTTTTTTTTCTCTAGGGATTGTAAATCTTTTAGCTTATTGGTTAATTCTCCAGCCACAACTTTATTGTAAATGTCTTAAGATTGAACAGGAGAAATTATAGTTTATTGCCTCATGATTTAATTATATATTTCCTGCTTACAGAGAGATTAAAATTTATGTGTTATTTAAAACAAGATTTATGATTGATAATAAAGATAGACGGCAAGTGAATGTCTGTATTTTATTTTTGTCTTCAATTATAGTTTATCTTGGAAGAACATAAACTTTCTTCTGACTATTTTTTTGGCAATTGAATCTTTTCTTTGTAACTTTGACTGACAAATGTAAATAAAAATATTTTATTTTATAAATCATAATTGATTGCAGATCAACAGGCAAAAACTATTATTAAATAGCCTGTATAATAAAAAAAAAAAAGTATAATGTTAAGGTTGCATCTAATTTCCAAACATAGCCATTTTTAAAACAATCTTTACTGTAAATTTCCTTATAAACTTGAAATGGTTTTTTAATAAACTTAAATTAGTATCTGTTTCAGAGCATTATTTTATAAACTAAAATATATTAGTTTACATTTTTTGTCAGGAGTTATAAAACAAAAAGGTAAAAAAATGATTATATTAAAGTAACTGGTGTTTATTTTTTTAACTGAGGATTGCAAACATGGTTGGTAAGAGAATATTATTTTCATTAGAACTGAAAATTTTATTTGCTGATCCGCAAATCTTGTACGTACAAGTGTTCAATTGCAACTCCCCCTTCATAAAGATGGATAACATTAATCAAAATATTACTCACTTGGTCAGGGTGGGGAGAAACCACTTCTTCTCTCACCCCACACCAATAAAAATCTCAACTAAAGCAACAACAATGTAATTGGTTTGTGATACAGGAAGCCTTTCTCGGTGTGTTGATTGTTATAAGAAAATGTTTCAATGAAATCACATGATTTATTTGAATTATTTTTTTATCATCTTCCTCATTTTCTCAATGTTTTCAACATTATTTCATAAACCTGACACGTTAAAACAATTGTAAAGTTCAAAATCCAACGCAAAATGAATGAAGATGAGAATGGTTGTTTTAATTAAACTTTTTATTTTGCCTTTTCTAAATTTGACTGCTAGATTTTATTTTATTGTAATTTGAAAAGCTAATAAAAATGATTTTACATTTGATTTTTTTTTTTTTTTTTTTTTTTGTCACGTCAATTAGCAATAACTTTGAATGTTTAAACATTTTTTTTTCTGAATATTTTTTCTCATATTTAGGGTGTGGCAGAAATACATCCTATATAATGGTAACACATTGCATTAGTGGCAATAGTTCATCATTTACTTTGTCTTACTATTATGTGGGTGATATTTCTGCTGTACCCTCTGTGTGTGTGTGTGTATATATATATATATATATATATATATATATATATATATATATATATATATTGATGTGAAACTCTCAAATCAGTCAGATGAGTTACTTTAAATTCTATTGATTTATTGAATATTATAAGCTCTATCGAGTGCTTTTTTTTTTTTTTTTTTTTTTTTTTTTGTCAGAAGTTGTACTAGCCTGAAAAACAAGTTAAATTCTAGGAATTTTCAAGTATTTTTATTTTTATTATTTTATATTTACTATTTTATTATTATTATTTTTCAGTTCTATTATTATTTTAATATTTTTTCAGTATTTTTCTTATGTAAAATTGCAATCCTCCAATATTTAGTAGATTTTCTTTTCTAAGTATCTTGTCAATGGCTCTGGAGATGTCTTTATTTTCCTTTTTCCCCCCCACTTGGAAGAGTTGTTCATGATAACCATTTCAACTGTAATTCATAGTCATGATATTACAGCAAAAACTATCTTCATCCATTAATAACATCCCTTCCCATTTCTTTCTTTTTGTAACCTCAGTGCTCTTTCTCAGATAATTCTTTCATATAGATTGTTTAACGCTTGTCCCCCACCCTTCTTTCCCATGTCCCCCACCCTTCTTTCCCATGTCCACCTCTTGCTTAACCACCAAAAACATTCCTCTGATATGAATCTTATTCCTCAGTACCACATGAATTTGTGCTTTCTTTTTTATTAATGATGCTGTTACTGTTATAAATATTGCCATGCTAAGCAGTTACTTCCCTTGCTGTTTAATCACTGAAAGGAAAACAGAATTTCAAGCCAGAAAAAAAGTTATTTTTTATTTATTTTTAAAAATAACTTCATCTATTCTTAAGCAAGGTATATTTCTTAATGTTGCCATCTTTAGTTCAATTTGTGACGAAGAAAATTAAATTATGAGAAAATAGAACTTAAAAAAACCCAATGCGAATTTACTGGATTTACATAGTAAGAGTTAACTCCCTTGAGCCAATTTACACTCGATTTACATAGATTTTATTTTCTCATTCTTACAAAGTTCGAAAATTTAATTAGAATCATTATATACTGTAAACTGCTGCTCGTATCTATAATTAATGAATAAAATAAACTTCAATCTAAGTATTTTATCACGTAAATTTCATACAATGTTTTTATTTTCTATATTTAATTCAGAGATAAAAGCAAATTTTTAATCTAATAGAAAACAGCTTTATGCCATTGTATACTGACTCACTTCATCATTGTATAATGTTGTATAATGCACTGCAATTGTAGTTTTATACTGAAAATATTTTATTTATTATTAGAAAAAAAACTATCATTAATAGCATAATCATTTAGAAAAAGAATTCACATAATCTAAGTGACACGCCAAAATCAATAAGCAAAAGTAATTGAAATTATTTTTCTATTTTCAATATTTCCATCAGCATTCTGGTTGTTAGTTACCTCTATTTTTTATTTTTTGTGTTTATTGTTGTAAATTTTCCTGACCTCATGCAAATTTGATGGCTAGCAGGTGGGAAAATGAAATAGAAATAAAAACATTTTTTTTTTTTTTTTTTTTTTTAAATCTGAAAACAATATTTTTCCAGCCTTGCAAAGCTGTGATCAGTGGACAGTTTTAATTTTCTTTTAAAGCAACAAAACGACAAAAGATGATAAACTTTCAGTGGAAAATGAACTTAATGTGATGTTGACAGGAATAATGGACACTTGTATAAGTAAAGGTTTTTCCTTAGTTGATATCCTATTTCATTAAAAAAAAAAAAAGTTGCCGGTGGAAATTTTGAATCTCTTCTCAAATCTGTGATCCAAATTTTTTTTACTTTCTATAATGACCAGAGCTGAAAACTCAGCTTTTTTTTTTTTTTTTTTTAAATTTAAAAT